AAGGGGGTTTTTAAAAATATAAAAGAAAAAAAAAAAAAAAAAAAAAAAAAAAAGAAGCTTTTGAGGTTTTCCATATAATTGCAAAAGAGCCACAAAACATAGAAGCATGGAAATGCTTACACTAATAGTCAAGTAGCCCTCTGGAGGAATTCGAAGCCTCGTGGAGATAATCCACCATTTGCTTCCAAACTGAAGAGTTATAGTCTTGAAGAATCGCTTCACATCAGCAACAGATCTGCATTCCATGTGTATGCAGCTTTTAGAACACAAGTCCATAAAGATTAATCGACTTATTATAAGTGAGGTAGATGTAGGGAATGAAGACATTGTGATAGAACATTATTTATTTGTAACATCTCGAAAAGCATGCTAACTGTGTAATATTAAGAAAAATGAGAGAGTTCAAAAGCATGCTGTTGTTTTCTAAAGATCTTATATCGATGGTAACGTGACAAAAATGCTCGAGGAAATCAATAGTATTCATTTTTCAACACCTCAACTAATAAAAGGTGCCCCTCATTTGTGGGACACACTGTGAGACTCACATTCTATCAGCGTGTTGTGTGGAATAGCACCGGTATCCCATAGCTTTATTCTAACTTGAATTATCCCTACATCATTTATTTATTTATCTATTTTTTTTGTGCAGAGAAAGAGGGTAATGCTTTAGCATGTGAATTCTAAGCATAATGATATTAAAATTCGGTTTTGCTATGAAATCAAATGACTCGTTCAATAATAATGAAAATCCTACAATTTCTAGAAAGAAAAATTGTAGGGCTTGTTTTATTAACATCACCAGGAGCGAGAATTTTTGCGTAAATGATGATTGTGTGTCAGGTCGTAATTTTCATACTTGAGTGGTGTTTCAGCTCTCCAGCAAATAGGCAATGATGGATCTGATCGATCTCGGACTAGTCCTGTTGTAGAAACTTCTTCAAGCTGCACCAGTGGTTATCACATAATCAGCGAAAAAAATGGGCGTGTTTCATTGGAAATTTTTATTTTTTTATTTTTATTTATTTCTTGGATGAGGATCATTTGCACTTACTGAAGCGAGCAGTGCGGAGTACGCTCTTTTATTGAAGTATGTATAAGAACTACCGCTGTCAAACACCAATTGTCTGGCTTTGCTGCTCCATGCTCCAAGATTGAGAGCGCTGCTTCCATAATTGATACTTACGATCTCTGATTGATAAAAATCCCTGAACAGAAGTGAGAGGAAAAATCAAATTCATAGCTCAAATTAAACAGCAGAATACAACAACTTGGAAAAGAAAAAGAAGAATCAATTAAGTGCAGAAGCATTTGAAGGATTTTAGTAAACGTAACCAAAAAGCCAAAAGCATAACACTTTTTCTGGAAGCAAAATTTTGCTCTAAACCAGCATTGAACTTTAGATTTTGGTATGTTTCAGAGGAAAGTAAGATAGGTGCATAATTTGTATTGGCCAAGGCAAGTATGAGTGCAAGAGAGGTGAAAATTTAACAACCATGAAGGATACCTTTTCTGAATCCGGATAGAACGAGAAGAAAAAAAAAAAGCACAAGATCAACTTTCACAACTATTTTGACAAAATAATTACAGCAGAATGAGAATACTTCATGGATTGACATATTGTTTAATTCACATAAACCCTCTTAATATGTGTCTTACCAAATGCTTTAGTTGCATTGCAAAATTTAACAAACATTAAATAATAACAGAAAAATGATAAAAGATGCATAGTTACATTGAAGGACTCCTAAGCATGGGTATCCAAGACATGCCCCAATGCGGTACGAAGTCATCACCTAAGAACATGTATCCGCCACCACCTGCGTTAGTTGTAAGACAATGACCTACCACATTCTTAATGATTCCTTTGCTTGCTAATTGAGATGGCAGACTAACTTTAGCCCTGCTCAAACCAAGGATTCCATCTGTCTTTGCCAGAGTGTTCAAAAGCAAGCCTTGCTGATCATATGCACACCTAAAAGTCAAAAGGAATTTCATGAGTCAGCAACCTACGAAATAAAACATGAAAATATTCGAATTTGGGGTGTGGGGAAAGCAATAGCTACCCGAAAACAACATTCACATTGGCCAACGATCCATTTTCCATCACCAAATGAAGTCCATCTTTTGCAAGAACCCCTAAGGAGGAGCTCCTGTCCGCATATTGAATCTCATAGTCACACTGTTGACATGTTTTGCAATGTCCAGGTTTCTGATTTCTCCGGATCTCCGTGCAGAATGAGTCTTTAGACGGTACTATATTACCTTTGGTGGGTTTATATAATGGATTAGCTCCCTACATGAAATTAAATCATTAGACAAACAGTAACTTCTAACTCAGATTTCACAAAAGGTTAGATTTTAAAATATTCATTGTAGCTGATTATTTGATCATGCCTGTTTCAAGAATGAGGTTACCCTTTTTGCATTGATAATTATACGAGATCAGTAATTTTGGAGCATGGCAGTTCCGGGTTTTTTATGCATTAGTTAATCTCACTTTTAGTCCCCAAACTACTAGTCAAATCCTATTTTGGTCCTAGACTTTTAAAATGTCTTAGAACGAGTCCCCAATTCACGAAGCTGTCCCAAACTAGACATTCTGCCGATCCAAAGGTTAAAATCTCAACAGAAAAATGCACTTCTTTCTAAACAATTATGCAATGACAGTAAAATTCCAAATTTAACACCGATTGACATGGTCCTCATATGCCTTTTTCTATCGAAATTTTATAAGTTGGATGGAAGGAAGAACAAATTTGGAACAAATTAACTGATCGAGGTCTCTTTCTGAGATGTTTTTTAAATGTCATTAACCAAATGAGATTTGGCCTACAGTTCGATGACTAAAAATGAGATTAACACTTATCTACTATGGTTGGTTTCTAATAACAAAAAGAAAAAATTCTAAATAAAAACAAGAGGAGTTAGGCAGTACCTTGGCACAGCTAGTGCATGGTGCATCGCATTGAATCCATGTTAAGTCACTCCCGGTGTCCATATCCAAATGATAAGGCCTTGGAGGATTCCCCACTAGAATTTGTGTGTAGTACAAACTGTATGAACATTGAAACTGATAGTAAAACACCCAAATTTTATGATCAAAGTCATTACCAAAACTACATTCATGGTTTGACATACATAACATAATACATTCTCATCTGGTTTAGATTAGATAAAACTCCTTTTCATGACACAAGTAAAATAACACACAAAAAGTACAAAACTCTAATTTTCAAAAATTCACAACTGTTTTCCGTACCCATCTGGATAAACATTGCCTCTGACAGGAAGAATGGCCGATGAGTCAACTTTGGCTGTAGAAGAAACCAACTTGTTGACTTTTTGAGTCTTAACGCGATCGCCAAATGAAACCCCAGCATTTTCCTTATCAAAATCCACAAACCTCCCAAGCTTAAGCTCCACATCCTTCTTCCCAGGAACGCCCAGTTTGGAATACAAAGGGAATATAAAAGACTCTGGTCCTTCATCGTCATTTGACCTGCGAAACTCTTCAACGACCGTGGGAAACACATGGGAGAACAAAACCAACGTGAAAATAGAGATACCCAGAAGCGCAAACAGCCTTCTTGGCACGCCATGGAAGAGTCTGAGCCTCGGGAATGGGAATTGGAGTTGTGGGTTTTGTGGGGATTGTATTGGGAGATTGTTCTGGTTCTGGCTTTCTTGGTGGGTTTGCGTTGGAGAAGAGTTTGAGAGTGTGAAAGCTGTGATGGTTTTGCCTAAAGAGGGATTGTCTGGTGGTGGAAGAGTGATTATAACGACGCCTTTTATCTGAGGTGGGTGATCAGATTCCATCAATTTTCTCTCTCCCGAGAAGATGGAGATTGGCACAATGTAATATGGGGGAGAGAGAGATGGAGAGAGATGGAGAGAAAGAAGATTGAATGGCTGTTTCAGAGGATCTGAGTTTAAACTTCATCTCCTTCTGACATTCTAGGCTTGGCTTCAAAGACTCGGTCGTAGTTCCCTAGTCAACCCAAAAAACGAATGCAAAGGATTAAGGATGTGAAAAGTGAAGGTACTTGGAAATTTTCTATTCTCCTTTGAATATGAGTTTTTAGTGCTTTTGCCCATGAACTTTGATTGAATTGGCGCGTAGCCCTTTAAATTTTAATTGATTATAAACTACTCCTTGTATTTAGTAAACTTTGCATAGTGCTCATGATGGTAAAATTTTAGAAAGAAATGTGTGTATTCGCATAAAATGACGTGCTCCAATTGCCATTTAAAATCTTTATTTGTTTCTTCAAACGAGCTGATGTAATGTGTACAAGAGTGTTTTCATTTCAATATCAACAACCTCATATTTTGGGGGCTTTTTTCTTAATACTTTACTGAAAATAGGAAATGATTTGATAAAAAAAAAAAAAAAAAATTAAAGAGTTACTTCTTAATCATGAAAACTTTGGGCAACAAATGTCAACTACCAAAAGGAAAAAGAAGGGTTGTAAACTTTACGAATGCCATAAGCGGTATTCAACTTTGGATTTCTACCATTCCAGAGGATGGATCAACATTTAACCTGATATGTTTTGTCCAAATTATCCCAACGTTTAAGAAAATCTATTATATTATCACAAGTAATCTACTAGATGACTCGCGAACCGACGGTGACTAGCGAGGTGTCGTCACTGATTAGTCACTAACATCGACGACCGGTCTTTTTTAGTGTCAGAGGGTAATGTGGTCCATTAACACTAATACCATACCAAAATTATTAAGGCATCGTTCATTTCACCGATTCGAGTTTTAAATTCGAGTTTTGTTACAGTAAAAAGCTCTCAGAAACAGTCACATCTAACTTTTTTGCTACAGTAAAAAGCTCTCACATAAAGTTATATCTTAACTCGAATTAAAAACTCGAATCAGCGAACTAAACAAACCCTAAAGTTTTTACAACATCTCACAAATATTCAAATTTAACTTTTAGTGATACAATATTTTCTCTCACATAAAGGTCCGTTTAGTTCGCTGATTTGAGTTTTTAATTCGAGTTGAAATGTGACTTTATGTGAGAGTTTATTACTATAGTAAAAAAAATTAGATGTGACTGTTTATGAGAGCTTTTACTATAGTAAAACTCGAATCGGTAAAATGAACGGGACTAAAGTCACTTCTTAACTCAAATTAAAAACTCAAATCGGCGAAATAAATGAAACCTTTAGGCCCCGTTCATTCGAGTTGAGAATTTGAGTTAAAAAGTGAATTCATATAAAAGAAAATTATGTAGTAGAAAAAGTTGAATTTAAAACTTTGTGAGTGAAAATACTGTAGCAAAAATATAAGTTGTGATTAGAACTAGTGAAATGAACATGGACGGCTGACAAACTGCTCGCTAGTCGCTAGAGAGTAATCTACTAGAGTATTATTGGTAATCTATCATGTTATTTTTCCTTTTCAACATAGATGGTGACCCATCTTTGACTTCGGCTGTTGGCCACTGGTGGCTAGAGAGTAATAGGGTAGATTAACACCAGTAATAACAAATTATTTTGACTTTTAGATACAAATTGTCTGCACTTTCCGATCGATTGTTAGAGTGTAAATGGTAGATTAAGAGCAATAATTTGCCAGATTAATTCACAAATAAAAAAATAATAAAAATAAATAAATTACCTAAGAATACAAAAAAATTTCATACCAAAGCACATAAGTCCTAACAAGATTCATGAATATATGAAAAATGACCCCCGCTGATGTCTCCACCCTCCATACCAAAGGCTGTATTTGTGAAAGAAGAGAAAGTGGCCATATAGCATATTTTATACATGCTAAAAAAAGTACATGGCATAAGACCATTTTTAATGTAAATATTAATGTCAGTTGTATATTTAATATAAAAAATGTGATATGGTATGTTATTTTTATTTTTACTACAATACATAATGTTATTTGAAATACTAAATTTACTTTTTCTCATAATCCTTAGAGCTTTGATGGCATGTTTACTTATCTGTAATTGAAGTGGACATGAATTGGAGTGGACAAGATTCAGAGTGCACATGAATCGGAGTCAAAAATTAGAGTCAGAATAAGCTATTTACTTAGATTTTAGGAATCCGAGTCGGCATCAGTCCCAATCTCATTCATGCATTTACTTATGCTCATAAATGAAATAAACTGTGATAAATTTACTTACCTACCATTTTAGTAGATTTTTGTATGTTGAACTTAAAAAAAAAAAGAACTTGTATATTATGCTAACTATCTTAATATTAGGATAACTAATTAGTAATTAGATTTTTAAACACACCTAATTAATCATCTAAATTAGGATAACTAATTAGTAATTAGATTTTTTTAATCACTCTCTTCTTTCGTGCTAAAAGTCGAAACATGGTTTCTCTACATTATCAACTTATAAAATTAGATTTAACATTGCATTGCATATTATAGAAAACATAAATCAACTTAGGATATAGATTGAAAAATGAAAAGCATTAGGCATAACACAAGAATCAAATTATAAACATGAAAAAAAAAACTATATGAGTTTCATTTAAATATTTGCATTGATATGAATTCATCCATGACACTAGTAAGAAAGAAAGAAAAGTTAAAACAATATCAGAAGAAATGAGTAAGGAGATACGAGAGGCGTGAAAGTAAATTAGGGCATTTTTCAATTTTTTACTTTTGTCTTTTCTATTCACAAATTTATTAGTAGAATTAAGGGTAAAATCATAATTTATATTTATTATTAGGATTTAGAGTGTCAATCTAATAAGAATGAAATGAGTGTTAATATCATTCCTCAATCCTAAATTGATCTGGGATTCACATATTTTCACTCTCATTTCGATCTTTGGATGTCGTTTTGGTGGGCGGCGAGAGATGGGTAAATATTGGATTCTTGTGGTGAACTATGAACCTAATGTTGGGTCCGCCCCGCCTGTAGGCTAAGATAAATAATGGGCCTTAGGCCCAAAGTACTTTTAATTAATCGAAATACAGGAAAATAATGGCAGGAATTGATTTCGTTTTTGTTTTTCATGCTTTTCTAGAAAGAAAAAATAAAAATATTTTTAAAACGGTGTTTGACGTAATAAAAATAAAAATAATTTTTTAGTTTAATGTAAAATGAGAGAGAAATGAAAAATGACTTAGTCGTTTTTTATTTTTTGTTTTCGTTTTCTCATCTCTAGAGTAAAGAGAGAGATATATTAATGAGTTTTTTATACTGAAAAAAATCTCTTGATAAAACTATTAAACGCATTTTAAAAAATAATTTCTATCTGTGATTTAAAACGTTTTCATTTTCATTTTTATACAAAAAATAAAATTATTTTTGAATGAATTCCAACCGCATCCAATAATTTTTCTACATACAACATTTGAAGTGTATAGCCTTTTTTTAAAAAAAAAAAAAAGTTACAGCATATTTTTAATTTTCATTCTAAACTAAATTGTTTATTTATTTATTTTTTTTTCTAAATTTACACTTTTTATTACTGTTTTATTCTTTTTCTTCTAAAACTTCAATCAACCACTATTGTTTTCCCAATAATGCTACAATGCACCACTTATTAATAAAAGATGAGTCTCGTAACAAAGACTTATGGATAAGCTCACTGTTTATTAGTGATGGTGCTTAACATTACGGTGTCCTTAAATATTTTTCATGTTTCCCTTTTCTTTTCTCTCTCTCCATCTTGTCGTGACGCCTGTTCCAGTCGACTTTGAGAAGCGGATTTCAACGGCGACGACAACATCAAGTCAATGGCTTCGGCAAGTCAATGGCTTCGGCTCTCTCTCTCTCTCTTTCTCTGTTGTTTCTCTTCCTCTATCTCTCTTCGCGGCTTCCGTAACAGGTCAAAGCTCTCACTGTTTTTCTCTCCCGCAAAGATGAAGATTGTTATAATGTAATGTGGGGGGAGAGAGAGTCAGAAAGAGAAAAGATCGAATGGCTGTTTCTGGGGATCTGAGTTTAAAACTTCTTCTCCTTCTGACATTTTTGGCTTCAAAGACTTTGTCATAGCTTCGAAGTCAAACCAAAAAAACTAATGCAAAGGATGTGAAAAGTGAAGGTTCTTTGGAAATTTTCTTTCATTCATTTGAATACGAGTTTCTAGTGGTTTTGCCCATTAACTTTGATTAAATTGAAAAGTTTCCCTTTGAAGTTTAAATGATGGTAAATTACTCCTTGTATTTAATAAACTTTGCATAGTGCTCATGATCTTAAAATTTGAAACGAAATGCGTCCATAATGGAGCATATCTCAAAAGTCAAGGTCCGAATTTATTTAGAACAAAATCCATGAGACATAAAAAATAAAGTATCTTAATTCAAAATATTATAAAATATTTTTAATATCTTGACGGATTGACTAATCGGGTAATATATTCTCTGACAAATAATAACAGTCCTTTTTATATTTTGTGCTTTCTCCTTTTATGATAAGTGTGGCTATAAATAGCTAGATATCAAGACACAATCTAAATGAGAATGATAAAAATATGTCGAATCTATGTTAGTTCACTCACTCTCTCTCTCTTAGTCTTCCATAGGTTCTTGAGTTGTGGATTATTGTAGTTTTTCGAGTATTACTGTGTAATAACCACACAATGGATAATTAAGGACGTGGTGATGATCGTGACTTAGAGGTTGGAGCATAAAGATCATGTTTGTAACTAGAGAGTATCGTAAGGTTTTTCCGTGACAAATCTTGTACTTGAGTCGAATTAGAGATCCGACTTGAAACCACCGTTGACGCTTCTGCACATGTATCCGGTGGTATGTTTTTCTTTCAAAACCATTTCAATAATTTTTTTCACTTAGGAGATGAAGAATAGCTATTCAGATTTGTTTCTGGTGAGAATCACCACATTTCCATTTCGTTTTGGTATGTTGTTCACCAAAGTATGATTTCCATTATATACATTGTCGTTGTTGTTGTTTTTTTTTTTTTTTTTTTTTTTTTATTCACTACATCTTTTTTGTCTTATATCTATTTGTTTTTGTAATGGGTTGATGCATATGGTTCCATTTCGTTTTTTAATATTTTGTTGGAGTATATGAGCTAGCAGCATAAAAACAGAAAAAAAAATAAAATAAAATAATCCCCGGTTTTCCAATATTCTAAATACTACTCAAATACCTCTAATTCTCTCAACTTTGTTGTTGATTTTCTTTCATTTTCTTATAACGTCACCTATTCGACATTGATTTTCTAACAATATGGTAATGTAGACCCCGTTCATTTTACCGATTCGAGTTTTACTACAGTAAAAATCTCTCAGAAACAGTCACATCTAATTTTTTTGCTACAATAAAAAGCTTCACATAAAGTCACATCTCAACTCGAATCAGCGAACTAAACTGACCCATGACGTCAATTTTAAAGCGGTGTGGATTCGCTCATTGTCATGAAAAACATATCTTTCAAATTGGTCCGAAATTGACTTCATCTATTCTGCAAAGCAGCAATACTTACAGCTATGTTTTATTTTTTTTTTTTGGTTATATTCTTATTTTTCAAATTTGTTTTACTTGTTACTTACAGTTTTCAAGTTGTTAAGCAGGTAAGATTTTTGTTTTATAACTTCGAAGGTCCCAACTTAATTGGGCTATTTCTAACAGTTTATATCTGTCATTCCTCATCAATAAAAAAAAAAAGGAAGAAGAAGAAGAAGAAAAAAATGTTGGAAAAATTAATCCCAGTATCGGCCAAACTATTGAAGCGTTTTCATTATTTCTTTAAAAAAGAAGAAGAATCTAATGGGAAAGGAATATTTCATTCTTTTTTTTGCTTCTTTTATCATAAAAAATGGGTATCCCTATCTCAGGAAAATATCCAGAAAAAAAAGGAGAACACTATAGATATTTGCACTCCAATGTATGAATGAATACGATATATCTTATTATATCCACACAAACATAAAGAAAACCAACAAAATATTCATACATATTTCGTACTCACCAAATCCAGCATTGTTTTTCAAGCCTCACTCTCAACAAGAAATTAACAGCACTCAGACAACTAGGGTTTCCCTCAAACGCACATATCTCTATAATTATTTACTTATACAAGCCAAAAATAAATAAATAAATAAAACTAATATTGGTAAACCTCATAGTTACGCTGCGGAATCTTTTTATATATCGCCATGAAGAGATCAAAGTAGAAAGACAACTGCGCAAAAGCGAACAAAGTAATCGGGCGTACAAGGGATATGCAACGAATTTAAGCTCCTCTTTTACGACAAATAGACGTCCAGCGCAGAAGGAAACCAACATGGAAGCTATATAGACGCGAAGAGCGAGGTCAAACCTGTTAGAAACTATCCTTTAATGTAAAACATCTCTCAAAATTCTAGAAATATTCATGTTAGATTACAAAAAATCAATAAATTAATAAACAGAAATATACATGAATCTATGACAATAAATTACTCTCTAGAGCCGTGCGGTTTATCTTGCAAATCAATACGTTTTCTTAGAGAATTCTTTAACTTTCTCAGATGATAAGATGTTAGAAAGAATAAAATATTACATATAATCTGGAGACCATAACCACAATATATAGATAAGATCCTTTGCAAAGTCTTTTTCCTGGTATCGAGAGGCAAGGATGGAAAGGAACAAAACTAGGGCAGTCACTGATCAGAAGCAGAGAGCATCGAGGACGCAATGGCGAAGGTGTTAAATGTGGGTTCATCTTCCAGCATCGGCGTACCTTTCTCCTCCTTGACTTCGCTGGGGAAGGCTGAAGATGTCGTGAATGCAACGGTCGCGACGAGGGCTGCAACGACGGAGCAAGACTTGGAGGTCTTGGAGAGCCATTCCGTTCCCTCTTTGATGAGTTTTTCGTGTGAATCAATGAAGATCGCCTTTGGGGTCTCCTTCTTTTCGTTGTAGAAAGCAAAGAAATTTTGTGGCATGCTGCTTTTGACAAACTGTAGCAGCAGATCAAATCGTAATCATGAACTCTTCAAATAGGTGATCAATTGAGTTATAAAGTAACTGAAATGTTTTGAATTCAATCTTTCAAATGAAATAAAGGTGCGGTAAAAGTAATTACATTTCTTTTAAACAGAGAATTTATGTCATTTCAGTAAAAGGAAAATCCTTCAAAATTTGCTATGTACGTAAAATTTAAGATTTACCATTAATTATCCTAAGTACATGCATATATCATAACTAATTAATTAGCACAAATGAGATTTGTTTGTTTTGTTTAAGACCTTTTGGTCTAATTAATGGCGTAGCTAGAGGGGGTCAGGAAGGACATTGTTGTGTGTTGGATGCCACTTGTAATATTTTTTTTTTATTTTAACTAAGAATGATAAATGGAATGAATGTGTTTTTTTTTTTTTTTTTTTTTTTTTTTTTAATTTTTTTTTTTTTTTTTTTTTTTTTTTTTTTGTAAATTTATTTATCTATAAAAACCAAAGATTTTTTTTTCCGATGTGATATTAAAAAAAAAGATAATTTTTTTAGAATTGACCCTTAAAATTCAATGTGAAATCAATATTGTCTCTTTTATTCAGTATTGCTCCTTTTATTTAAGTTGATCTACTCTAATAAAGAGGCAATTATGATTAAAGAGGTTAATAACAAAAATGTGACTCATAAAAGGGTAGTTTTGCACCTTTTCCTTAAAAAGAAGACACACACGCATATATATACACACACACGCGTTAAAGTTTGGTCTGATTTTATAGTGCACTTAATAGAACAAATTAATCTTCTAAATTATTCCAATTTTTGCAAGGCAATTGTCAGCAGGGATATGGATCTTCTGAATTATAAATTTCGTTTATAGTTGACTCTGCGAGTAAATATGTACGTTTTTTCCCTTTTAGTTTTTTTTTCTATTGGGTTTTGGCTAAAAGATTTTTAACAAGGCATGTTTGTAGCTTTCTTTCAAGGTGCAAGTTTCGGCTTTATGCTCTGAAATGAGCTTCTGACTATTATTTTGTTCTTGTTTTGGCCTTTTTTAAGTTGGTTTCTGTTTTTTATTTTCATGATGTTATGTCACAGTTTCTTTCATTATATATATATATATATATATATTTGCTTTCTTATTAATAATATATATTGGAGTGATAGACTTGGTAGAGGATAGGTTTTAAGAAGGGTGCCAATTTAGTTGGGATGTCTCGGCGAATCTAGATACTAGTTGTCTATTCTCCTCAATTTATCAAAAAAAAAAAGAAAATCTTTTTGCTGCTCGACCTTTATTTATTCATGAACTTTTAATCATATACTATACACGTGATAATTGAGCATTATTTATGTGGTTGGACATATAGTCTAGCGGTAATTTTATATCCGAACTCGTTATAAGTTACCTTGGTCATCCACTTGACTGAAGACGCTTTCTTTTGGGATAATCTTCTTCGCATGGAGTTGTCTATTCTCAACCGCCAACAGAACCACATTCTTCCGATTCGAGTCCATATCCTGGATCGCCACAGGAAACTCCTCTAGTATTTTCTCCACCATTTCTACTACTCCTGCCTTTGCCGCTATTAATATTGGTGAATCTAGGAAAATGTTTTACCATAAGCTAGTAGCCAAAATTTGCTTCTTATATATTATTCTATACCTATGATATTCGAAATATATATATATATATATATAACTTGTTAATCGGGACATATATATAAAAGAGTTACTTAAGGAGGTAGAGTTTTTTAAAAGAGTTATTTTTAGTAAGTTAGATACGTACTTAAGGAAGTAGAATCTATAATTCTCAAAAAAAAAAAAAAAAAAAACCCATAAAGCATGACAAATATTTGTACATACATGACTTAGAACAAATATAAGAGATAAAATCACTTTATTACCCTCTAGTAAATATTGTTTTCTGTTACTTCAGTGATCTTTCTGGGATCAGCACCAGCGGTATAGGACATCGAGCTACGCTTAACCAACTCATTCATTATAAGTTCAGCCATTCTATGTTGCTGTTTCATTTTCTTAATTTTCTTTATCCTCTTAATCCCTACGCATTCGAAAATTGGGAAATTAATAATAACTTAGAGTCGCCCAACACGTACATTTCTAAGCAATAATTTTGTCAAAAGAAAAAAAAAATTTGGGTGCTTAGTCGTTTTAGTCCCTGAATTATGTGTATTATGTCACTTTAGTGATTAAAGAGAAATCTCGACAAATATCTCTTAAAAGTGCATGAATTATTGGGTCTTGATTTTCATTCCTTACTCTCGATTAACATCATTTTTAATCAAATATCTATATTAACAAAAGGGTATTAATCTAAAGTAAAAGGTAAAAGTTCAAACTTTACATTTCAAGGATGAGCTAAGTAATTTTCTCTTAAACTTTTTTTAAGTTAAATAATTAATTACTTCTTAAACTTTTCATTTTCCACAACTTTGATCAAACATACTATAACAAATTACTTCTAAAATGTTTTAGAGATAATTATATCGAAAATGTATAGTGACTGAAATCTTTACAGAATTAGTACAATAGATGTAAATTGTTCTACTTCTTAGTGATTTTGTGATAACAATGAAGAGAATAATAATGTAACTCTTTCTATGAAAATTTCAGTTGCTATTCATATGGAGCGTGATTATCTATTTGAAATTTCAGAAATTGATTGTCAATTTTTGTGTGGAAGGACCAAAGTGGTTAAAAATAAAAAATTCAGAAAATAATTTGTCGAAATTAAAAATTTAATGAGCAAAGTGACCAAAGACATAATTCAGAAACTAACAGGTTTAATAAGTATTTTACTTTTTTACGATGGCCTCGGAAATAAATTATGACCCGAGGTAGAGTACTCGTTGTAAAAAATAAAAAAAAAATGAATACTGACCAATTCCTAGGATGACAAACAGCACCTCCATTGAAAACTTGAACAATAGGATCCACGTGTCATAATTGGGTGGTATTTTTCTTTTTTGAAGTTGGGGAGGTAACAAATTTTTATCCTTCGGTATCTTCCCTTCGTTCGAACCTGGAAAAGAAGGCCACGTAGGTTTAGTTTGGTATTATTAATTTTTTTTTAAAATTAGTTTCTGTTTATAGCAAAAATTAATTTAATTTTAATTATATTTTAATTAATTTAATAATATTATATTATAATTATTTTAATAATATTATATTATAATTATAATATGATATTGTAGTTATTATTTTATAATTTATAATATATTATATTGTATTGATATAATTATATTTATTATATTAATAAGAATATAATAATTAATATAATTAAATATTAATATAATCTTATAATTCTAATATTATTGTATATTATAGTGTATTACACACGTTAAGGTTATATAATATATTTTTTAATATAATAAAATAATGATTATATAATATATTAT